GGGTCTTAACACCTTTCCTTCTCCATCAGTGCCGTGACATACCCACGGAATTTTGTTGAGCTGCTTCTCACCAACGAGCAGCACCCAAAATCAGCATGAGCATCCCAAAACCAGCCAAGCAAATCCCACCTGCTTCCACGCTGCTCCACTCCCTCCTCTCCCACACACCAACTCCTCGTCAGTGGCCACCACCCCCAGCACTCCAGCCTCGTTTTTCCCCGCTGTTCCCAAGGTCCCTCCCCGGGGAGCTGCACGAACCTCCTCTTGCTGTTCATGCTTTCCACTTTGGACCAGGAATCCGTCTCTGGGTTGTAGACCTCCACGGTGCTGAGCCTGAGCTGGCCGTCGTAGCCGCCGATGGCGTAGAGGAGCCCGTTGACCACGGCGACCCCGACGCGGCTCCGCGCCGTCGTCATGGGCTGGCACTTCTCCCACCGGTTGGCAATGGGATCAAACACCTCCACCACGTTCAGGGAGTCGCCTGCGTAAAAATTTGCTACTCAAATTAAAAGAGGGAGAGCTGGTGAAGCCCTGGGAACCTGAGGGAACCCCTGGTTTTCCTTGGGAAAACATCTGGGCTCTGCTAGGATGGGATGGCATCCTGAGGGACCTGGTCTAGTGGAAGGTGTCCCTGCCCATGCCATGGGGTGGGATTGCATGATCCTTAAGGTCCCTTCCAACCCAAACCATTCTGGGATTCTGTGCCCTGTCCTGGGCCCTCACATCCTATCCCAGCCTATCTGCTCCCACAGAGCCAAGGCAGAGGCATTTCCCAGTCACTTCCCAGCTCTCCCCCAGATATGCTGCTCTGAACAATTCCCACAAAACACACTCCAGCACTCCAAAAGATCGTGGAACACTTCCCAGCTTTCCTGTGCTCTGCACCAGGAGCCTCGACGAGTCCCAGGCTGTGGAAGTGGCACCTCCAGTGCCCTCCAAGGGGCAGCAGAGACCTGCAGTCCCATCTGTGCTGTCGCTGCTTCACGTTTCTCTGAACACTTTCTGTTCCCTTTTTACACCGTGGTCTGGCCCCTGTGAACATGTGGTGACTGCACATGTGATCTCACAATCCCAACAACATCCCAGAGACACCTCCAGGTCCTCCTTGGAGTTCCAGGCAAGGACACACCAAGAATGTGCCCTAAATAAACCTCACCAGGACAGGATTTGAATTGGAAGACGTTAAACTACCGTCACACCTTGGGTGCTCCATTGGAAGGGCCCGGAGGAGGAACCGCTCAACGCTCCAACCCGAGGGAATTTCCCCATCCCGTGGTCCTTCCCAGCTCCCCGTGGCCTTTCCACTGCAAGGTACCTGCCGAGTTCAGCCCTCCCACGGCGTAGATCAGCCCTGCTATGGACGTGCAGCACCGGGGGCGCGTCTTGAACGCCGGGAGGTGCGGCCGGCGCTCCGGCATGAGGTGGTAATCCTTGGCTTCGTCCACCAGATCCCTGGAATGCAGTGAGTCAGGAGTTAAAGAGGAGCTCTGACTGCCTGGAGGCAGAGGCAGATTTAAGCCTCTGTGACCCCAGGCCCCGGGCTCACCTGCATTTGTGGCAGCAGCGCACCAGGTCGTCCTGCTGGACGCGGTCCGTGAGGAACTGCGGCCGGCACAGCGGGAGGCGGATCTTGGAGAGGAGCTCGGGCAGGAAGGAGTCCCTCTGGTCTCGGTCGTACCGGATCCAGGCTAAGGCAGCTTCAAACACCTTGGGAGAGAGGGGTGGGAAGTTGGGAGTTTTGGGTTTTGCTGCTGGCGCCACTTGATTGATGGAAAAAGAAATGGCATGGAATGCCATGGGCAGGGACACTTTCCACTAGCCCAGGTTGCTCCAAGCCCCACCTAACCTGTCCTTGGACTCTTCCAGGGATCCAGGGGCAGCCACAGGTCCTCTGGGAAATCCATCCCAGTCCCTCCCCACCCTCACAGCCAACAATTCCTGCCCACTATCCCATCTAACCCTGCCCTCTGGCAGTGGGAAGCCATTCCCTGTGTCCTGTCCCTCCATCCCTTGTCCCCAGCCCCTCTCCAGCTCTCCTGGAGCCCCTTCAGGCCCTGCAAGGGGCTCTCAGCTCTCTCTGGAGCCTTCTCTTCTCCAGGTGAACACCCCCAGCATTCCCAGCCTGGTTCCATAGAGGTTTTTTCTCCACCTCCGACTTATCCTGCAACAATCCCGGGGGATTGTACATTTAACACAAGTGTTTGCAGGGAGCTGAAGGAGTTGTGAAGAGAATTTTGGCAGAGGAGGTGGGACAGAAGCAAAATCCTGTTTATTTACTGAGAAAAACCAGCAAACTGGGAAAGGAGAAAGGGAATGCTGCTGCTCCATGAAAAACCAGGAGACAGGTTGGATGACAGGGATCCATCTGTTCACTTTTCCTCCATTCTCCCCCTCTTCCCTCACTTTTCTTCTTTTTTTTCTGTATTTTTCTCTTTCTGACCCAATTTTTTCATCACTTCCCCCTTCTCCCACCTTTTTTTTCTCTTCATTGACTTTCTTTCCTTAATTCTTCCCAGTTTTCCTTATTTTTCTTAATTTTCCCACTTTTCTCTCCACTTTTCCCTTTACTTTCTATTTTCCCTTTATTTTCAACTTTTTTCCATTTGCTTTCCCCTGGTTTTCTCCCTTTATCCTTCGTTTTCTCTGTTTTCCCCAATTTGGCTTCTTTTTTTTGCCCAATCTTTTCCTTTTCTTCCCACATTATCCCTTTATTCCCGTTTTTCTACTTCGTTCCCGTTTTCCCCCATTTTTCTCGCTTTCCTGCTTTCCCCCCCTTTCTTCCCACTTTTCCTTCTGTTCTCCCTCTTTCTTTTTATTCCCCCACCGTTTGCTTTTCCCGCGTTGCCTTCCCTTGATATTTTTTGTTTGGTCGTTTTTCCAATTTGTTGGTTCTGCTCCCGTTTTTCTGCTTTTTTTTTTAATTTTTCCCCTTTTTTTCCCCTCATTCTTCCCTTTTATTTCCCCCCTCATTTCCACCATAGCTCTGTTTACCACCTCTTATTTTTCCCCACTGTCTTCTCCTCATCTTCATTCAGACCAGGCCCATTCCCATTCCCACTCCCAAGCCAAACCCCGCTCCAGGGACACACCTGCTCTTCAGACTTCACGTTGAGCTCATCCCTGGAAACGAGCTCCAGGACGTCCTCGAAGGGCAGGGCCAGGAACTCCTCGGACATGGAGACCTCCACGAAGTGCTGGTGGATGAAGCTGTTGGCGGCGTCGTAGAGCACCGCGCACATCATGGTCTCGGCGAACTGCCGCACCCCCAGGCAGTTCTTGGGATGGAGCCTGGGGAAAGGCAAGAGGAATGGCAGTTTAACGGGAGAGAAGCTGTGGCTGCCCCGTTCCTGGAAGTGTTCCGGGCTGGATGAGGCTTGGAGCACCCTGGGCTAGTGGAAGGTGTCCCTGCCCGTGGCAGGGGGTGGCACTGGATGATCCTTAAGGTTCCTTTCCAAGCCAAGCCATTCCATGACTCCATGAAGCAAGACAAGCAGGTTCCAGCTCCCTGAACTGACCCCCACGGAGACCTCCAGGTGAATCCACGGCAGAGCCAGAGGATGGGAAACACAACTTAAAAATGTTCCCTCAGCCCTGCCAAGGAGGCACTGAACAGACCCAGGTGGCTCTGGGGCAGCCACAGCTTCTCTGGCAAATCCATTCCAGTCCCTCTCCACCCTC